ATATATATATATATATATATATATATATATATATTAGGGCTGTCAAGTTAACGCGTTAATAACGCGTTAACGCAAAAAAAAATTAACGCCACTAATTATTTTAACGCGATTAACGCATGTGTATTTTTTGTCCTCGGCCGCCCCGTAGTTTCAGAGCGCATCGAGTTTAAAATACCATCGACAAGCTGATGCTGACAGCCCCGCTCCTGCCGCCCGCTTGTGGCAGACCACACTTCCACGCTCACTGGCAGGCCCGGACTGGCCATCGGGAGGACCGGGAGGGTGTGTGTATGTGTGGCGCGACTCGCGCGAGCGAGGCACACCTTACGTGTTGTTGTTGTTAGCATCTGGTGCTAGCTAGCTGCGCTAACGGATATAAGGAGCTGTTTCAATGACATTTCGCCGACAACTGCGCCGAGCACTTGACTTTATGCAGGTAGCCAGACAGTGGGACATTGTACGAAAAGTCAGCACACTCAGCACGGATAGTACGCGCAACATTATTGCAGCGTCCAGGCAGCACCCGTTCGAGCATATATGCCTTGAGCTGCACATAGCTCAACGATCCATCACAGTGTCTCTCCCCCCCCCACACACACACACACACACACACACACACACACACACACACACACACACACACACACACACACACACACACACACACATTATTATTGTATGAGAGAGGTTCTAGGTTGAATTGAGGCGAATATTTGTAATGTTCAGAGGTTGTTGTGTTTAATATTCATGAGAATATTTGTCATTGTTCAAATGATAAAACAAACATATAAAGCATATTTGTCCACTCATATGTTGATAAGAGTATTAAAAACTTGAAAGATATCCCTCTAAGGTACATTTAGAACAGATAAAAAATGTGCGATTAATTTGCGATTAATCGCGATTAACTATGGACAATCATGCGATTAATCGCGATTAAATATTTTAATCGACTGACAGCCCTAATATATATATATGTGGAAAATATACATGTGGAAATACAAATTTCCAGTCACAAATATAATGCAGGATATTATTGTGCAAGAATGGATTATCCAATATTAAATAGAAAATGAATGTGAAATGTCCAGTGGGATTTTAAGTCCAGTTATTAAGAGAAGCTATGGAGCAGAGAGTTCTATTCCAGCCAGAGGTGATTTGTTGTACCCAAAGAGATAGGCATATTTGTTTAGAAGGTAAAACCACAGACCCTTTGGCATGAGACATTTATCTGTAGAGATTATAATTTTCACCAAATGCTCGCAATAGCTAATGTGGCGATTTCAACGGTTATTGGGCCTGCATCATGGACCTCAAGCACATGACTGATCATTAACAAATTATATGAAACTCTGTCACGGTACACCGTCCTTTTGCATGCTAACCTAAATTGCCTGTCAACCCAGTATTGTTTGCCCGCTGGGGTTATGTACAGCGCTGCTGGGACGACGTGTTTTGTAGGGCCACACCTGTACTGAAGATCTTACGTTTTCTCTCAACAAAAAAGTCAATCAGACTTTTATAATGGATTTTGGAGTTTTTAAGAAAAGAAGATTATATTTCTGTTCCTTAAAAAATTATATTCTATAACTTCAGTAATATGTTTCACAACTAATTGCTTTTACAAATGTAAAGGTTGTGTTTTATTTTATTTAGATTAAAGATTGATGCAAGATGTTGCTGCAGATCATTTCTAATGTCTGACATAAAGGCCATTAACATTCTTGTAGATACATAACTTTTCTTTATGTATAAAAGCAATTTTCTTTTATGTGTGTAAATTAAGCAATGTAAATGAACAGTGTAATGGTAAATGATTGAGAATTTGGAACTGCAAAAAAGGTTTATGGAAATCTTTGAAACACGAAACAACAAGAGAAATTAACGTTGTGATGAAAGTATCAGGATTGTTAATTCAAAATTGTTTAATGGCATGTCTTTATTTGTAGACCGTTTTGAAGGTCATACAACACAAAAGAACTCCACATCATTGTATTTTACCTGACAGAAGTATATACAGTAGGCCATGACTATGAAGCAGTGTTGTAGTCAAATCACCAATTCTCGAGGCCGAGTCACTCTCCATGCCTACTCTTCGAGTCCAAGTCCGAGTTACTTAGGAAGAGTCCGAGTCGAGACCGAGTCTGTGTCATCCTTCCCTGTGCTCGAGTCCGAGTCTAAGTCTGAGTCAACTAACCCCTAGATTCCACCGGGTCCGTCTGCGCCGCGTTACGGCTGCGCCGCGGTTTTGGTCCGGCCTCCTCCGGCGTCATACCCTACCAGGCGCGTTTCAGAAGCATTTCAGAAGCGGAGCGTCTTGCCTGCCGGCTCGCAGTTTTTGTTGATTTGGGCATATTTCCTGGACAGGCTACTTTGTACAGACAAAGTTAATAATAACTGTAATATTCCAGTTATAAACGACATGAATCAAAGATGTGTTGCTGTATTTTAGTGGTAAAAAAATGCATTCATCATCATAATTATTCTATATATATAATTTACACAGTGCCTGTAAACCGGAGGAGAACGCTGGCATTTCTCCTCCTACTTGAAAGACTACGGAGGGATAGGGTCTGCAAAATTAGTTTGTGTGTGTGTGTATATATATATATATATATGCTATATATGCTCTGAACTTTCCACTTCCTGCCTGCCCGACATTACGTTACGGCTGCGTCGTGTCAAAAATAGGATTCATCCTAATTTTAGAGGAGCCCTGCGCCGAGGCGCTTCTGGGACGCTTCGGAGCCGTAACGCGCCGCGTGTGGTGGAATAGCACCCATTGACTAGAGTGGCCGCGATCGCCGTGAGCGCCGCGGCGCAGCCGTAACGCGGCCGTAACGCGCCGCAGACGGACCCGGTGGAATCTAGGGGTAAGAAAAGTCAGAGTCGAGTCCGAGTCATCATTACCTGTGCTCGAGTCCGAGTCTAAGTCTGAGTCACCCAAGAAAAGTCTGAGTCGAGTCTGAGTCATCATTACCTGTGCTCGAGTTTGAACTAAGTCAGTTCAGGTTTATTTCAGTTTATTTAGTGGTTGCAAAATCCAGAGAAACTGAAAAGACATTAACCTCCCAATAACTAAACCCTCATTGTACTGAATGACTTTTATTTTATTGGGGATGGGTCATAAACTTAAATAAATAATAGTAATCATTATTGGGTATCAAAGTCAACTTTTATAAAGTGGATGTTTTATTTCCTTATATGGATTGTTGTTGAGAACGTCATTGAGAAAATTTTAACAGTGGAATGGCATAGTGCAATATTCAATGTGAAACAGTGAACTTCTTTCTGCTCATGAGATTCCACGTTGTCCCAGTCTTTTCCTCAATCATCCTTTCACAGAAAGAGCTTTTTGCCTGCTCCTTCTGTAAAAGCAGCAGTGTGTCTCTGCACATCTTTAGACTGGGAATAGCGGGAACTCGCCTCGCAGCTGTACACGCCTGGGACTCGGACTCAAGCAAGTTTTGGATTAAGTCTGAGTCCAAGTTTGATCGTCAAAGTGTGAGTCTGAGTTTGGATCCGAGTCCATCAGCGCGCGAGTCGGGAGTCCGAGTGTGCGAGAATTCAGTAGTTCGAGTCCAAGTTTGAGTCCGAATCTATTTCTGCACGAGTCCGAGTCGAGTCACAAGTCCAAAAAAATGTATTCCAGGTCCAATACTAATATAGCAGAAATATTTTTGTATTGCTGTAAATATTCCTTCCATCTGTGCTGAGGCTGAGGAAAACCCTTCCACGCCATTGATGACGGGTTCCCGTACCGCGCGCCTCCACTACTTCCCCACAGTTGTTCTAACGTAATAGATGTAGGACAAAATCAGCGGTACTGGTTCTGTGCGCACATTCATTAAATCAAAGCTAATATCAGGCTTCAGCAGTAGGAATTAACCAAATCAAGTGCGTATTTGCTTTCCTACACCATGTTTTCTTGCAGAGCTGCAGCGGAGGGAAAGACAAGAGGGAATTTTGTACAAGGTTCAATGTTAGTTTATTTGTATAGCACATTTTAAGACACAGAGGCCATTCAAAGAGCTTCATATAGGCATTAAACACATCATAATTAAAAACAAAACAAACACACAATAAAAAACAAACCAAAAAAACAGTTAAAGGATCTCAGGATAGGCTGCATTAAAAAGAAAGGTTTTCAACCTTGATTTAAAAGAACCCAGTGTTGGGGCAGACCTCAGAATTTCAGGCAATTTGTTCCAAGCTTGTGGTTCATAAAAACTAAAAGCTGCCTCTGCAAATGTAGCTCTGACTCTGGGGACGACGAGTAAACCCACTCCTGATGACCTGAGAGCTCTGGCTGGCTTGCAACAGTGCAGCATCTCTGACATGTATTTTGGTCCCAAAGCGCTTTGTATGTTGAAAGTAGGATTTTGAAGTGTATCCTTTGTGTAATAGGAAGCCGTGCAGATCTTTGAGAACTGGGGTGATGTGGTCAATTCTCCTAGTTTTGGTGAGGACTCTAGCAGCCGCATTCTGGATGAGTTGTAGTTCTCTTATTGATTTTTTACAGAGACCTGTGAAAACACTATTACAGTAGTCAAGACTGCTAAAAACAAATGCATGGACTCGTTTTTCAAGGTCGTGTTGGGTCATAATGTTTTTCTTTTTTTTTTTAAATCAGAGTCCATAACTACACCAAGGTTTCTGACATTATCTGATGTTCTCAACAGTATTTTTTCCGATATCAGAACTCAATTGGAAAAAAAAATGTTTGGCACCAAAAACAATTGTTTCCGTTTTGTCCTTATTAAGTTGCAGGAAAATTGTCATTCATTGTATAAACAAGACCCTAGCTTAACAGACACACAGTTACCAACACTGCTGTATCCTCATATTAGTTTCAGCTAAACTTTGCAAGACAGAATTACTTTTGCAATAAAGATATACTTACATCCACTTTAGACAAGAGAAACCATTTGGGTGACCAAAAACAGACATGCAATATTTTAAGACTAAAGTTAAGTTAATAAATGGACATTGGGTGCATTCTAGGGTGAGACTTTAGCCTTGGCCGTGATGACTGAGAGTTTAATACGACAGCATAGATAGTATATGAGGATTGATCTGATGGTCTTGTCTCTGATGCCATAGATAAAAGCACTCAGACATCTGGGTAGAAGAATAATACACACATAAATAACACTCCGGATCCGCACAAGTCCTATTCTGTCGGTGACTTTGGCTATAGCTTCGATCAGGGGGTTGTGTAGAGTTGAAGAGAGACTGAGGCCCAGCTGCACCAGATGCAGCAGCAGAGTGTTACGAGCTTTACGAAATGAATCTTTGTCTGTGCAGGCCGACCTGGCTGCTATCATCACACCAATATAGGAGCAGCTGACTGCCACACCAGCTGACACAAACAGAAAATAATTGTAGGCTTTGTCATAATCATCGGAGTACCGGCCAAGCAGCATGTTTTCTTTAGCACAGATATCTTTCATCTGGAGACTTTTCAGGTCTCTAAATGGAAAGTCTAACAGAAGAATAACCCTTGCAAGGACATTTAGTGAACTGAAGGCCCAAACCACAATGACAGCCACTGCTGTGCTTCTGATGGTAATGAAAGTAGAGTGCCTTAGTGGGTAGCAGACAGCTACATATCTCTCCAGAGACATCACCACCAGTGTGAGAGGAGAAATTTCATTTGTGAGTTCTATAAGCATGGCAAGAAGACCACACACAGGATATGTCAGTCGTATTCTACAAGAAGCTAGTAGGTAGAATAACTGGCTCAGTGACATTTGTACAGTGTCTCCAAAAAGGAGGTTAAACAGAAGAACGTATCGAGAGGTTTCACGTAACACTGATTTACTCCTCAAGGTCATTAACATGATCACATTAATGCAGAGAAACACACAGCATGGCACTAGAATCGGAACAGAAAACAACACAACTTCCAGTATTCCCTGGAGCTGCTGTTCAACAGTGATGTTGGTCTGAGATGACATAGTCTTTTTGGGCGCCTCTCTTTATAGGTTATTATCCAGATAGAGAATACATTTGATTAATCTGAAAGACCCTAAAAAAAGATTAACCTTTGGATGATATTATAACAAAAACAATCTAAAAATAAGTTCACATGTAAAACCAGAGTCACCGCACCGACATCTTTGCTGTGCGCATGTTGGAGGCCATGTCTGATTCTATGTGAGCAGAACAGTTCTGCTAGGTGTGCATGTTCACACAGGCAGTTTAAGAACTCAAACCTCACACAAACTTCACGTGACACAATGACGAATAAGCATGGCAATAGGACAGGAATGGGTGATGTAATCCTTAAGGAGAGAGGGAAGGAGGGAGAAAGAGAGACTTCAAAGAGCTTAAAGAATTAAGAAATACCCTTCCTATATATTGCTGCCTAATATGTATTCAACAACATTCAATGAAGGGTTAGGGTTACCAATACACACACATGCATTCACACATGCATTCTGTTTATAATTAATATTTTCATATTACTGCTATTGTTTATTGGCCAAATATACATTTGTGTTTTGATGCTTTGGCTAAATTCAGCAAGATAATGAAACAAAAAGCAACTAATAGAAAGTTAAGGCAAGTTATTTTCATATAATAAAAAATCTATAAGGAGTTTATTAAACAAGTAGTAACATGTTATTGTTTTAGTTACTACCATGTAGACAGGTACACATACAAAATTCCCCTCCTCTCTATTCTGCACGTTTTTTGTTGAAGTTTTAATTTCCAACGTAATTGGATTGTTTGCTAGTATAATCCTGGCCTTTTTCTTTTTGTTACCTTAATGCTCTTTTGACTTGTTCTTAGATGTAGATGAGGCTTGTGTGATTTGTGTTGTTGACATAAGAGCATGGTTAGCTACATGAACTTTTCACTGTTCTGAAGTAACAGAGACCAAACTTTGCTCGGTGTTTCACTATCGGAATCTCTCCAGCATGACCAACTAAGGAAGCTCCAATGACACAACGTCTGTCAGTCACAGACAGGTCGAACTGTACAAGGGGCACTCCTCCCATAACTAAAGACCACCCCTTCACAAAGCATTCTCGGTTTCTTCCCGTGAAGAAACTATAAGCTCCCTCAGCTCATCTTGGCTAGTTTAGGTATTCTGCTTCTGTTCATAGACTACCCACTATGGACTATTTTGCAAAACGCACTTCCTGGTTCTAGTCCATATTTGCTGGATAAGTACTTTGCAAGAAATGCCTTTACTGCCACCACATTCGTGTAGTATCCGTGTCCGGTGACTGTATTGTGTCTGCAGGGTTGGGAGGGTTACTTTGTAAATGTAATTAGTTCCTGAATACTGAATACATGGCTCTGAAAGTAATCCGAATCCGAATACAGTTACACGTCTTAAAAAAGTAAGTATTCGGATTACTTTTAGAATACTTTCTTTTTCCACAACAGATGGGTATGTTTTGGTGAACAGGAGACACTTATTTGACTGTTTTCATGGCTTATCAAGAGCACAACTCAAACACAACATCTTGGTGTCATTCTGGACAGCTCCCTCTCATTTGCACCCACATGAAAAACATCACCCGGACTGCATTCTTCTCCAGACTCCTGTCTCAATCCAGCACTGAAGTCCTGGTTCATGCATTCTTCACATCCCGTATTGACTATTGTAATACCATGCTCTCAGGCCTTCCCATCAAACTCCTCAATAAACTCCAAATCATTCAGAACTCTGCTGCCTGGATCATCACCCATCCTCTGACCTCTGACCTCATCACCCCCATCCTCTGACCTCATCACCTCCATCCTCTGACCTCATCACCCCATCCTCTGACCTCATCACCTCCATCCTCTGACCTCTGACCTCATCACCTCCATCCTCTGACCTCATCACCTCCATCCTCTGTCCTCATCACCTCCATCCTCTGACCTCATCACCTCCATCCTCTGACCTCATCACCTCCATCCTCTGACCTCATCACCACCATCCTCTGACCTCATCACCTCCATCCTCTGACCTCTGACCTCATCACCTCCATCCTCTGACCTCATCACCTCCATCCTCTGACCTCATCACCTCCATCCTCGGACCACATCACCTCCATCCTCTGACCCCATCACCTCCATCCTCTGACCACATCACCTCCATCCTCTGACCTCATCACCCCCATCCTCTGACCTCATCAACTCCATCCTCTGACCACATCACCCCCATCCTCTGACCTCATCACCTCCATCCTCTGACCTCATCACCTCCATCCTCTGACCACATCAACTCCATCCTCTGACCACATCACCCCCATCCTCTGACCTCATCACCTCCATCCTCTGACCTCATCACCTCCATCCTCTGACCACATCACCTCCATCCTCTGACCTCATCAACCTCCATCCTCTGACCACATCACCCCCATCCTCTGACCTCATCACCTCCATCCTCTGACCTCATCACCTCCATCCTCTGACCACATCACCTCCATCCTCTGACCTCATCAACTCCATCCTCTGACCACATCACCCCCATCCTCTGACCACATCACCCCCATCCTCTGACCACATCACCCCCATCCTCTGTTTGTTTGTAGCCTTTATTTAACCAGGTGAAAATCCCATTGAGATCAACGATCTCTTTTTCCAGGGAGACCTGCAGCACATTGGTTACACATAAAAACAACAGAAAACTAAAAGGACATCATACAACATAATTACAGGGGTATAAATTAGCAACCTATTCACAATGACAGATATCTAATAACTTTCATCCAGCCGTGCTTTAAAATGATGCAGGGGAACCAAAATGCTCAGTTTTGTTTGCAGAGTGTTCCAAGCTAGAGGAGCAGCGCACATAAAAGCTTTAGTACCTAAAACAGTCCTAGCACTTGGCACATGTAATAAAAACACATCCTGGGATCTCAGGCAATAGCTACTTGCCACTCTCTGTGAGATCAAAGAGCATATATATGATTGTAGTTTACCCAACATGGCTTTATAGATGAATATGTACCAGTGACTGAGCCTCCGACCAGTAAGTGAAGGCAGACCTGCCTTGGCATACAGGGTACAGTGATGAGTAAGTACTTTACAGTTTGTCACAAATCTCAGTGCACTGTGATAGGCATCTAACTTGATCAGGTAATGGGCAGGTGCATTCATATAGACCAGATCACCATATTCCAGCACAGGTCAAAAGGTCACAGAGCCTTTTCCTGGCTTCAAAAGAGAAACAGGACTTGTTTCTAAAAAATAAACCTAGTCTAACCCTCAGCTTTTTAAGCAGATTAATGACCTGAAGTTCAAAAGTAAGACAATCATCAAGCCAGATACCAAGGTATTTATAACAGGTAACCACTTCGAGTACTTGTCCTTGCATAGTAACAATATCCAAAGCAGTCTCCGACCACATCACCCCCATCTTCTGACCACATCACCCCCATCCTCATCCGTCTGCATTGGCTACCTGTAAAATACCGGATAGACTTCAAAACCCTCCTGCTTACATTCAAAGCCCTCCACAACCTGGCCCCCACCTATCTGGCTGACCTCCTACACCCCCCCTCTCTCTCTCTCTCTCTCTCCTCTCTCTCTCTCTCTCTCTCTCTCTCTCTCTCTCTCTCTCCTCTCATCTGGCCCCCATCTATCTGGCTGACCTCATACAGGAGTACAGGTCCTGTTGGCGTACCGACCATCTCAAGTCCCCTCTCAAGTTCCTTCTCAAGTTCCCTCTCAATTTCCCTCTCGAGTCTCTTCTCGAGTCCCCTCTCAAGTTCCCTCTCGAGTCTCTTCTCAAGTCCCCTCTGAAGTTCCTTCTCAAGTCCCCTCTCGAGTCTCTTCTCGAGTCTCTTCTCGAGTCCCCTCTCAAGTCTCCTCTCAAGTCCCCTCTCAAGTTCCTTCTCAAGTTCCTTCTCAAGTTCCCTCTCGAGTCTCTTCTCAAGTTCCTTCTCAAGTTCCCTCTCAAGTTCCCTCTCGAGTCTCTTCTCAAGTCCCCTCTCGAGTCTCCTCTCAAGTCTCCTCTCAAGTCCCCTCTCAAGTCCCCTTTCAAGTCACCTCTCGAGTCCCCTCTCAAGTCCCTACCCAATGTCCTGTCCCGTTGGGGGTCCCGCCGACTACTCTTCTGCCGGGGGTCCTGCCAACCCTATGTCCTGTGCCGTTGGAGGTTCCGCTGGGGGTCCTGCCAACTCCATGTCCTGTTTCGTTGGGGGTCCCGCCGACTACTCTTCTGCCGGGGGTCCTGCCAACCCTATGTCCTGTGCCGTTGGAGGTTCCGCTGGGGGTCCTGCCAACCCTATGTCCTGTCCCGTTGGGGGTCCCGCCGACTACTCTTCTGCCGGGGGTCCTGCCAACTCCATGTCCTGTGTCGTTGGGGGTTCCGCTGAGGGTCCTGCCAACTCCGTGTCCTGTCCTGTTGGGTGTCCCGCCGACTACTGGTCTGCCGGGGATCCTGCCAACCCCATGTCCTGTTCCGTTGGGGATTCCGCTGGGAGTCCTGCCAACTCTGTGCCCTGACCTGTTGGGGGTCCCGCCGACACCTGTCCCGCCGGGGGTCCCGCCAACACCTGTTTCGTTGGGGGTCCAGCCGACACCTGCTCCGCCGGATTTCCTGCCAACACCAGATCCTGTCCTGTTAGTAAGTAAGTAAGTAAGTAAAGCTTTATTTATATAGCACCCTTCACAACACGAATGTACAAAGTGCTTTACAGTACAGTACACAATTCACAGTACAACTAAAATGTAGAATAAAAGGCATAAAAAGGCATAAAACAACAGCAGGTAATACATAGGATAAAACATAAGATAAAACACCAATAAAAGACAGCTACTAACTCACCTCCTCCGATGCCCCAAAGGCCTGACGGAAGAGGTGGGTCTTTAACTGCCCCCTAAAAATCTCTACTGAGGCAGAGGCTCTTAGTGTCTGAGGGAGTTTGTTCCAGAGCCTTGGGGCCACCACCTCAAAGGCACGGTCCCCCTTGGTTTTTAGCCTGGTTCGGGGCACCCTTAGGAGGCCTTG